TAGCCCCCGGGCCATGATGTTTATAAAGTACAAGAATAAAATACAACAAAAACACAATAWTAAAAAAGTGGATCAATCAGAAACAGACTGAAAAAGAAGAAAACATATCAATATTTAAAATGTTCTGTGGATTTCAGCTCCTGCATGTTCTTCCTGTTTTCCAGCTGATTAGCAGGCGTCTGCAGGTGTCACCATGAGGTCACTAACTCACCTGACTCAGGTGTGCTGAAGCAGGTAAACCAGGCAGGACAGGACCTGAGGACCTGAGCAGGAGACTTCTGGATTAAAGTGAGTTCAACTGGATATTTAGTTGCAGATTTTTTTACTTTTAATCAGGAACAAATCAGCAGCTGAAGGCTAAAGTTCAGCTTTTAGTTTGCTTGTTTTGTGGGATTTTCTTCCTAGAATCATTTTTCTCTCCGTGTCTTGGTGAAAAACATCCTCCCACGTCTTATAAATACTTTGTGGTAGTTTTGACACCACTGCCTGACTCCTCCATGGTCTTTGGTTCAGTTCCCAGTTTTCCTCACAGACCATAAACATGTGTGTTCAGTTAAATCGTGGTTTTTAGGTGTGATTGTCTCTGTGATAAACTGGTGACCTGTCCAGGTGTACCCCACCCTGGATGCTCTTTTCAGTGTTTTTATATTTGCAGGTTGAATGTTTGAGCTTTAAGTGATAATTTAGATGTTTTAAAGTGGGTTTCTGTAGAAATGACAAACAGTATCTTACCTGTTGCAGATGACTCTCTGAACTCTTAATTCTGGACACATTAAGATGCTGACAGGTTGTGAATCATCTCCAATCTCAAACTTCATATAACTCTTTGAATTTTTATTTTGTAAATATGCAGACCCCCTTTAGTTTTGCATTATTATTCAGCGAGAAATGTTGTAATATTCCTGCAGGAAGTGTCCACAGGCTGCAGTGTTAACCAGACAGATGAAAGGTGCTAACAAAGTGTCTGAGTGGTTTAAAAAAATGCAGAAATCTTTAGTGGTGGCTCATTGATCCTGTCAGAAATTCACTTTTATTTCTTCAAAGCTGAAGTCAGTCAGAGGATGCGGTCACTGCCCAGCCGTCTGTCTGACTCCGGAGTTGAGGAGCAGGTGACTTGCCTCCAGGCGAGGCTTTGTGAGCTCACATCCTGCCCGCTGAGGCCTCGCCCCGCTGGCTCAGACTTAAGAGGTTTATCAGCTCGTGGCTCGGAGATTAACTGTTGCTCTGCAGTCAGCTTGATTCAAACATCTGAAGCTCACCAGGTACGGGCTGCCGTTTGTAAAGTTACAGTCAAAAATTACCACCAATATTTGTTTTATTTAGCCTTTTATAAGAAAAAAAGAACAGATTTATTTTTCAAAGTCAGTTTTTCACCATATGATTCATACATTTATAAATG